GGTTCAAAGCCAGCCCGGGCAGGAGAGACCGTGAGACTCCTATATCCAATAAACCACCAGAAAACCGGAAGTGGCACTGTAGCTCAAGTGGTAGAGCGCTCGCCTTGAGCTGAAGAGCTGAAGAACAGCGCCCAGGCCCAGAGTTCAAGCCCCACGACCGACAAAAAAAAAGGCCAGCCTGGGCTACATAGCAAGACCTAGATTCAAGGAAAAAGAAAATCCTCATATGATGAATTGTAAGCAAATATACCCAGAAGACTAGGATTAAGTAAAAATATAGAATTTTTTTCCCTAGGCATTGATGGCTCACGCCTGTAATCCTAGATACTCAGAATGTTGAGATCTGAGAGTTACAGTTCAAAGCCAACCATGAGCAGGCAAATCTGAGAGATTCATCTCCAATTAAACAGCAAAAAGCTAGAGGTGGCCAGGCACTGGTGGCTCACACCTGTAATCTTAGCTACTCAGGAGGCTGAGATCTGAGGATCATGGTTCCAAGCCAGCCTGGACAGGAAAGTCCATAAGACTCTTATCTCAACCAGAAAACTGGAAGTGGTGCTGTGGTTCAAAGTGGTAGAGGGCTAGCCTTGAGCAAAAAGAGGTCAGGGACAGTACCCAGTTCAATACCCATGATCGACCAAAAAAAAAAGAAAAGAAAAAGAAAAAAAGAAATCTTAGTAAAACTTAGTAACCTTAAAACTGAGGAAGGGCTACCTACCAACTGTTTTGTAAGATCTGAAACAAATATCTTAAAATCTAATATACTAAGAATGGTCTTAAAAACACACGAGTTAGCATTTGTTTTTAGATGAGTTATCCAGAAATTACACTTGAATATAACATCTGGGGAAAAATCTACACTTGGGGCATCATGGACCATAGTGCACTTAAATCATCATAGAAATAGAAATGTATAATAATAGAAATAACAGCATTTATGTTTTAATATTGTTTACATTTTAATATTACTTATATGTTAATGTAATTATTTTATTTACATGATAATAATAAATGAGTAGGAATATATTAGGGGAAGACTTCATGACCACACACAAAGGACATTTAGTTAATGTAAAAATTTATTCATATCCTTAACTCCCTTTGTTCTATCATGCTAAAAAAATTAAAGTCATGTAACTTTAACTTGCTTAAAGTATTAAGATATTTCTTCCTCCAGCCTTTTAAAGTGTTTCTCCCCCACCCCCATATACCTCTTGTAAACTTCCCCAAACTATGAAATTGCCACTAACAGCTGTAATATAATAATGCATAGGTATTCTAAATGTATTAGATTAATAAAATATACCTTGAACAACAACCTGGCTGCCTGGGACAAAGAATTGCTGTGTGCCATCTGCGGATTGTGCTGCGTACTGTACAATGGTAGCACCTGGTGGAGGAGCTCCTGAATTTGTCATTGCTAGTGCCTGCAGTCCCTGAACACCATCAGATCCTGGGTTAGAAATCTGGATTGCTCCACCTTGGGCTATAGCAACTTCATAAGAAAAAAAAAAAAAGAAAGAAAAGAAATATTAGAGATTTCAAGAGTTGTTTTTAATAATCTCAGAGAACATACTCTGTGTCTATGTATTTCTATTGCTTTTCATTCTCAAGTTATAATTATCATCATCATTATTATTACTACTACTGCTATTATTATTATTATTGTCAGTTGTGGGACTTGAACTCTGGGCCTGGGCTCTGTCCCTCAGCTCTTCAGCTCAAGGATAGCACTCTACCACTTGAGCCACAGTGCCACTTCTGGTTTTTCTGAATGGTTTATTGTAGATAAGAGTTTCACGGAATTGCCTGCCTAGGCTGGCTTTGAACTGCTATCCTCAGATCTCAGCCTCCTGAGTAGCTAGGATTACAGGCATGAGACACCAGTGCCTGGCTTATCCTTATGTTTTCTATGCTGAATCAGTCAGGAATATCAGCTTCTAAATGCATGGGTCTATTTTCTATTTAGAAATCTCTGAAGTTCCTTGTGTCTATAGGGTTTTCTGTGGCACACATCCAGTTAAATTGTTTCAGAGGAAGAGAGAAAAAACAGGCTGAGACAAGAGTCTAGCTTCTTCCAGTTTTCTCTACCTACTCAAATGTTTTCAATTTTAATAAACATTATTCTAATGCTTAAGAAATGGTCAAATGCCCATTGAGCATCAACAATGTGTGTGCACCTTTCTTCAGCTAATTAACTTTTTTTATTATCATCAAAGAAAACTGAAAATAAAGGCTGTAGACAGCTGGGCACTGCTGGCTCATGCCTGTAATCCTAGCTATTCAGGAAGCTGAGATCTGAAGATTGCAGTTAAAAGCCAGCTGGGCAGAAAAGTCCATGAAATTCATCTCCAATTAATCAGCCCCAAGCTGGAAGCAGGTGTGGCTCAAAGAGTAGTATGCCAGCCTTGAGCAAAAAAGCTAAAAGACAATAAATGCTAGGCCCTGAGTTTAAACCCCAATACTGGCACAAAACAAACAAACAAATGCAATCAGTGCAGCCTGATTATTTGCCTAGCATACACAAGGCCATGGTTTCAATCTCCAACACTGTAAAACCACAAGGGTTTGGGGGGATGAGAGACAGACTGTAGTATAAACATGTATTTTGGTTTATGTCTACAAAACTGTCATCTTTATCATGTTGACTTATGTCAGGAGAATCTTTCAAAGATAACTCTAATATAGTAATGGGAGAGGGGGAGTGAGGAAGGTGGGGAGGAAAGGGCTAATGGGAGAACAAGGGAAGGGCTAACAATGCTCGACAAGAAATGTACTCATTGACTTACTCACGTAACTGTAACCCTTCTGGCACAGCATCTTTTTAATAAAATAAAATTTAAAAAAACGAAAAAAGATACTAATGAAAACATCTGTGCATATAAATATATGCACATATATATCATATATATATACACACACACACACATATACATATATTTGGGGGCTTGAACTTTGGGCCTGGCTGCTGTCTCTGACCTCTTCAGCTTAAGGTGAGCGTTCTACCACTTGACACATACCACCACTTCCAGTTTTCTAGTGGTTAAGTGGAGATAAGACTCATGGACTTTTCCTGCCTGGGCTGGCTTTGAACTGCAATCCTTAGATCTCAGCCTCCTGAGTAGCTAGGATTACAGGCATGAACCACTGGCACCTGGCTCTGAACACATTTTTAAAGTAGGTTATCTTCACAGTACAACTCTCAAGATTTCAGGAGTCTCAATATTCAGCCCTCACAACTACCTTGAGAGAAATCTAATTTGTTATTTTTTCTTTTCTTTTTTTTTCTTTTCTTTTGTGCTGTCCCTGAGCTTTTGTGCTCAAGGCTAGCACTCTATTTCCAGCTTTTTGGTAGTTAATTGGAGATAAGAGTTTCTTGGATTTTCCTGTCTGGGCTGGCTTTGAACTGTGATCTTCAGATCTCAGCCTCAGAATATAAGTGTGAGCCACTGACCCCCAGCCTAATTTATTAAAACTAGGAAAAAAATGCAAAAGATGTTTCTATCTTGAATCTTCACGGACAGATATAGATAAATTTTGTATGTTGTTGTTTACTTAAATTTGTATTTAGAACTGACAATTCATTTGCTATCATAGAAAGTATGCTGTGGAAAGCACCACAATGTGCTAGAACATAGTAAGCACTCAAGAAATAAAATGACTGGCTATCATTTCTTCATAACAGAATATATTATAAACCTATGACTTTAGAAGTATTAACTGAGGTAAGGCTTCAAATTCCAATTGCAGCTTTAATTTTTCAACACCTATAATAATTATTAAGCTTCTGGAGTAGTCATTAGAACTACAAAATTTTCACTTTTTCTTTTCATTCTTTCTTTAAAAGTTTTCTCCTCTTTTTTTAATAATTTTTCCAAAAAGTCCCAACCAAAACTTGATTGCTTTCATACTATGAACATCTGGCATGCCAAACATCTATTTGTCTTGTTATTTTACTTTCTAGAGAACTCAACATATAGCTAGATATGGAAAACAAAAGATTCCTTCTTTCTCTTTTTCTCTTTCTCTCTCCCTTTCTCTCTTACGCACACACACACACACACAGGTTAGGTATAGAGGGAGAATTGTTAAGTCTCCAGTTTTAGAATAACTTTTTTGTTTTCTGACAGGGCCCTTGATTTTGGCATTATCAAGTGACAGCGGACCTTCTCATTCAAAATGTTATCTCAGTCGGACAATGAACGCAAGATTAACCAGTGCTTCAAGGACCCCAGAAACAGGCTTTGTGTGTGCTATCTGCATTCAAAGACTTGAGTAGGACACTTCTTAGGTTTCAAATTATCAGAAGACTGTATAACTTGTTTTCAGTAAACAAAAAGCAAGAAAAAATAGTAAGGAAAAAAAGATTATTTTAATACAGGCATACTATTTTAGTATTTTTAAAACTTACAGTGGAAAATTCCAGCAATGTAAGAGTAAACAGGATATTTGTTAATTGTCATCTTTGTAAGTCTTCCCTCTTACCCCTGTTTTTAGAACAAATAATGGATAACATATCTGTCTGGCCATTTTAAAATAAAATTGGGTATGAGCTAAGGTATTGGTCATCAATAAAAATCCAATACCTTTTTGCTTCCCTGGGAACCAAAGATTATTGGCACTTTCCTTGACAGATGAAACAGATCATCAATGTTTATATGTGTGACCAAGTTAGAGTCCACACAGCTCTATGAATATTGTTGTGATTCCAGAAAAAAAAGTAAGACTCTTTTAACTTTGGATGTATACTTAACTTTACTCTTCTAGTATTATGCAAATTAAATAGCACCCTAAAATAGTTAAAACTGAACAGTCTGATTATATAATCAACTAAATTCTACATCTGTTTCCATTATTAATTGATGCTAGCCATGGGCTCACTATAGTGGTAAGTAAAAGTTATGTCTCTATCCTAGTTGCTTTGAGAGCTAACTAAATTTAACATATCATTAAGTATATCACTCAACCTACTGATTGAATGTTGGACACAATAGCCTTAAATTAAGAAGTTTGTCTAACTAGGCATGGTAAAATGCCACTGTAATCCCAGCACTTAGGAGGCTGAGGAAAGAGAATTTTGAGTTTAAGTTGGGGTACAAAGGCAGGACCTTGTCTCAAACAACACCACCACTACAAACGACAAGAGAGGGCCAGACTTTGGTGGCTCACACCTAGCCAGCCAGGGCTAGCTCCAACTAACCACCAGAAAACAGGAAGTAGGGCTATGGCTCAAAGTTGAAGAGTACCAGCTGTGAGCAAAAGAGGTCAGGGACAATGCCCAGGCCTCAAGTTTCAAGAACCACCACCAACAACAAAAAAAATCCACAGAAAAGCAAGTTTGTCTATGCATAATTCACTAAGCATACTTCTACTTATTTTAAAGGGTTATAAAAACATCTTTATACACATTCTTATGTAATTACAATATTTAATTCAAAACTAGTATTAATCCAAGTATGGTTTTTCCACCCCATAATCTATCATATATCATGGATGATATCATATAGGATTATAAGATGGACCCATATAGGATGGTTCTAGCACAGCTAGTCTAAGAAAACAAATTCTTAAAAATTTCCTGAGACTCAAAATAGTGGTTAGAATCAGTTACTTTCAACTGGGTGCCGGTGGTTCATACCTGTAATCCTAGCTACTCAAAAGCTTGAGATCTGAGGATCACAGTTCGAAGCCAGCCCAGGCAGGAAAATCAGTGAGACTCTTATCTCCAATAAACTACCCAGAAAAAGTCAGAAGTAGCACTGTGCTCAAGTGGTAGAGTGATAGCCTTGAGCACTGAGAGCTTCAGAGACAGCACCCAGGCCTGGACTGACAAAAAGAAAGAAAAGAAAGAGGAAGGGGGCGGGGGGGATCTGTTATTCTCAACACTCACTGTCTTCATGGAGCACTTTTCTCCAAGGGCTGTGGACATCATTCAAGTAGATGATAATAATTATGGGATGAAAATTCAATAATTGTGGTAAAACTTTAAAAGGAGTATTTTAAGTCCTAATTGGTTTAAAAAAAATAGGGCTGGGAATGTGGCTTAGCATGAAGCCCTGTGTTCAATTCCTCACAACCACATAAACAGAAAAAGCTGGAAGTGATGCTGTGGCTCAAGTGGTAGAACTCTATCCCTGAGCAGAGAGAAGCTCAGGAACAGAGCCTAGGCCCTGAGTTCAAGCCCCAGGACTGGCAAAAAAAAATTTTTTTTTTAATATGAAAAGGTTGGAAAGCTGAGTTGAATGCTGGTGGCTCACACCTGAAATCCTAGCTACTCAAAAGGCTGAGATCTGAAAGATAAACATTTGAAGCCAGTCTGGGAAGATGGGCTTGGCAGACTTCATCTCTAATTAGCCAGAAAAATGCTGGACTAGAGTCATGGCTCGAGTGGTAAGAGAGCCAACAATAGCTCCAGGCCCTGAAATGTTAGAAAACTTAAAAAATGAGTTTGTATAAGTAAACACATAAGATTATATCTCTTTTTACTTGATGTCA